AATTCAGCTAATCAAGTCTGTTGGTCATTTTGGTCCTGCCATTGGTCAGTATGTTCTTGGCTTTCGACAGAAAACACTTTACTCAAAGTCTTGCAGAATTTCCTTCCTGCAAGATTTCAGCAGCACAGCAAGTATTGCAAGAGGAAACAACTTTATAGGTCATTTTAAAAGAGCATAATAGTCTGTACTTACCCTTCCCTGAATGTATGAGAAAATCATGTTGTGGAAAGTAAATATGAGTGAATGATTCCTATGCTAATTTTAAGAAGGGAATCCATTTTTAAATAAATTCAATGGAAAGAAGGAAAATTCCTTTCCTGTTTAAGAAATAAATATTCACTAGCCCATAATAATAACTATCAACAATTGATGTTTGCCATGCTCTGGGTTGGGGACCAGGTCTTCTACGTACCTTATGGCTAATCCTCCAGGAATCCTGAAGGCCTCCCCACAATACCCATTTTAGAGATGGGAAAATCACAGCTGAAATGGTACAGGCAACAATCCCAAAACCTGAAATTAATGAAGTCCTTCCTCTTGAGTTTTACACTCCAAGATTCATCACTGATTGCCCCAGTTACAATAAGGGAAATGCTTATTACTCTTTGTAAACACAACTTTTAGAAATTCCTTAAAAAACGTAACTCCCAGGTTGTGCTCCTAGTATAGGTGTGCAAGGCAACTCACAGTATAAAGAAGGGACTGTGTTGCCTGCGAGTCATCACCTTCCCCACTTTCTTGTACAGCTGTCCGACTTCCAGGTGCCACCTCAGCTGCTCATGAAAACACACAGATCCTTAAAAGGCTACGTTCCTGATTACCTAAGTGCAGGAAACTCTGTGGCCCGGTCATGATTGATGAACGGTGAATCAGAAGCTGCCGGCAGCTGCCCACGTTAATCCCCATAAACCTGTCTGGTAAGTAGAGAATGGGACTGACCCTGTGCCCACACATGAACCTTGAGAGGAGAGCTGTGTGGCACACTGGAAAAGCCCAGGCGACCAGACATGTCCTCTGGGAACCCCTGCAGGCACTGTAGCTCTGGGCAGCACGGTCTTCTTTTCATCTAGCCCATTTTCCTCACAGCTAAGGGCTGTCCTTGGGAGTTACCTCAGCAACCTGGGGCTTTCCAACAGTGTCTTCCTGTCCAAATCCTGCTGTGGTGCCAGTCTCCTGTTTTCTATCTTATGCCAGGATGTGATGATAAATGTTTGAATATTTGATTTTGGTTCATTATAGTACGATACTTTAAATCCACAGCTAACACTAACGTTTTCTTTGATACACATTAACTAAATGATGGATATGTAAGAATTTTGCTTCAAATCAGATTTACTACAAGGAGGTAGATTTTTGTTTAAAAACTATGCATGCACACACGCTTCACATGAACTGGTGACTTGCCCTTGCTTTTGAGCTTCTGAATAGAGGACCTACTTTGATGGTAAATTGCAAAAGGGAAGGCGGAGGCGATAGGCAGGGATTTTTCAAATTCCTGTCTTCAAGGACAGATTTATGTCAGTACACTCCACTGCCATCTTACCTACCCTGCTTTCTCATCTCCTTACCAACACAAACAGAAAAATGACTTTTGGGCAGTGCCGCCTGGCTCTGGAGTGAGTTAATTGATAACGTCAGTGCATGTCACTGTCTTGCACATCTGGAAGCAAGTCTTGCACAACCAAAGTGAAATGTGGAAATGTGAAATTTAAGAAATCGAGGGGACTGGAGCGGGGCTTAGTTGGTACATGCAAGTCCCTTAAAAATATGCTTTGTCACCAGCAAAGGACAAATCTTAGGAAAATAGTGGTGTATAGCATATAAGGCACAGTTCTCCATTCTCTACAATGGGAACTGCCTTACAAAAGTTCATTGTTTGTGGCAGATTTGAATCTGGGGCTCTCATTTTAAGAACAATGGCAGAAATCACGTGGGAACTTTTTTCTCGCACAGATTCTGCAAGAAGCGAGTACAAGGCTTAGAACCGAAGCTGGGGGAATCTCATGCTGACGCTGGGCATTCTAGATAAGTATCTCTTTTATAGAAGATTCTGCAGTGCCTACTCAGCCCAGCACAGCTCCTATGAGGCCATGTAGGACCCATCTTTGTTCAGTTTGTCTCTTTTCATTCATACACATTTGGAGAATTCTCATTAAAATTACTTAGAGTGAAACAGAAAGATCTTGCCATAAAATAAATCTAGTTAAATACACTTTGTTGTATTGCCTCATTTGTGTGATGCATGGACCTAATTTTCTTCTTTTTGTATCTTAACTATGTACATTAGGTGATTCTTGCCAATTAATGCAGGATGACATATCCCCAATTGCTTTTCTCTATATTCTTAAACATTAAAAATAAATACGTGCCATCTGTCTCATATCTTGAAAGCAATTCAAAGTGGTTACTTTTGCTTTCTTAGGATTACAGCAGTTTGTAGCGATAGTGCTTTTGAACTGTGGGAATGCTGTCAACATTTCATAAATGTAATGTTGTTTTAAGGTGAATCCTGCAGGGTGAACAGAAGCCTCCCATGAAAGGGCAGTTAAGAGAAAAAAAGATGTAGTGCTATGGCCAAAATTATGGTCTTTGGAGTCCAAGAGGGAAGGACTAGAACCCTGAGACCACACTTTCCTAGCAGAGTGACCTCAAGTAAGAGGCATAATCGCTAGAGCCTTGATTGTCCTCATCTGTGAAATGGCCATCACATCTACTATACACGATATACTTTGCTCTTTTACAGACACCATCATCTTTAACATCATCAGATTTGACAAGGGGAATAATTCCACTTGGGAAGGGGAACTGTGAAAAAAATAGTTCATAGAGGCATAATATTAAAACATGGATAGTTACATATAGAAGCTGTGTTGTCTACAGAAATTAAAGTATAAAAGTAAGAAACTTTAAGCAGCACATGGTGGCCCATACCTGTAATCCCAGTACTCTCCTATGCTGAGGGAAGAAGACTGTAAGTTCTTGAAGTAAGCACTAGTGTAGTGACTTAGTAAAAACCAATCTCAAAGCAAAAAAAAAAAAAAAAAAAAAAATAGCTGGGAAAGGGTGCTGAGGCCAGAGTCTTGGGCTTAATCTCTAGTAGTACCACACACACACACACACACACAAAGAGAGAGAGAGAGAGAGAAACTTTAAATGGTCTTTGAAGGAAAAAAAAAAGAAAGAAAGAAAGAAAGAAAGAAGGAAAGAAAGAAAGAAAGAAACCAACTTTGTCTTCATTGTCCTTTGAGAATACAGATGAATTTGGATAGGGAATTGGAGTCCATCAATTGAGGAGCCCTCAAATCCACTTAATAGCTAAATAGCACTTTTTGAAGTTTTTTTTTTTAAATTTAAAAAAGTGTGTACTATATAGCGTCCAATGCCAGAATAATAATGAGATAAAGGCAGTTTGTGAATGGTCTGATTTCCATTTCTAGAGAAACATTTTTTCATTAATACTTTCTCCTGTAGCCCAATTTTGGACAAAGTTTTCCAGATTTGAGTCCAAAACTCTGAAGATGGTGAACATGTAATTTGAAGTCTATTCTGTATTCACAGACCACAGAATTGTAGTGCTATAGAAAAATGCTGCTACATGTGACCTAGCCCAAACTATTTTAGCAATAAGTTGAGGTCCAATGTAGCTTAGCTAATTGTCCCCAAAGCACATAGCTTGTTAGAGCAAGAACATTTCCCTTCTTTTAGCTAGGTTTCAAAAACTTACTAAAGCACAGTGAAATCTTAGACTTCTATAAATATCCAAAGTTTGCAGCTTATTCTTTGCATGACTATTCTCTGAACAGCCTTACTTGAACATAACTTAGCTGCTTGACATAGATTTTGCATGACAAAGTGGTCATCTTAATAGTAGCTGGTAATATACTATCAATCCTTTATTTGGACTACACAGGCAGGGCAATCCAACTGCTAGTTATCCTGACATGTGCTTCAGAACATAACACACCCATGGATCCTGGCAGAGATGTCATCTGTTTGTCACACCCTGCCCCACCACAAATCCTTCCAAATTGCTTATATTTTTAGCATGGTTAGAGAAAAAATTTTCCTAAAATTCCTAATCTCAGCATACGTGTTCATTTCCCTCTCAAGAAACTTAAAAGCAACTGCCACAAACCCTGAACGTTAAGCAAAATGAAGAATTACTATGAAGGTAAACAGTAAACAGCTGTGCCACTTAAAATGGAGACCATCCTTATCTGGAAACAGCACTTGAAGCTCGTTCCCAAGGAAACACACATTGATTTTACCCTATCACTCCTGATTGGCTTAACACAATCTGAAAGTGGACTCCTAGATGGATCAATTTGCACTGATCCATGCAGTAAAGTTAAACTGAGGCTGCCATTTACTAATTAAAAATGTTTTAAGACAAAAGCTGCCTATTTTCAAACAAACGCTAGATTTAAGGTATCCTATTGGTCTTTATAAAAAGACATAAAATCATGTGGCGGTGATGTAATTTTTACTTTTTGCCCTACTTAAGAGACTAACCCTGTAAAAGCTGGGGAAGGACTGCCTGGGAACAGCCCAGAGAATGGCACTGAGCCCTGCGGTCCCTCCTCTGGCACCTTCCTTCACCATCAGCACCTCTCTAGGTAGGTGCGCACACAGGAAGGCTGGCCCCCACTGCCGCCTCGGGAGGGAGCCTGCCACTGGTCAGGTGCCTCGGCCGCAGTCCCCTAGCTTGAGTGACAGGGCAATAAAAGGCTCCGGAACCTCTTGCTACAATGTCCTCCCTACAGTCCCGCGCTGTTTTGGTCAGACTTGGAGAAGGGATTCAATGCATTTCAGGGATAGCAACATCATGGAGTGCCTCCCTCCAGCACGCAGGACAGGCTGTGGGAAGCGGCAAGGAAGAGGTAGGCAAATGGCCCTCAGCATTGCACAATGGAGCTTTCCCGGAGGAAGCCGGTGAGTAATGCAGCAGGAATTTGTTTCAACAATCCCTCCCCCACTGTGAAAAACAACCAGACTCAAGATGCTGATAAGAATTCTTTTATGTTATTCCAATAAAAAATACATTCATACAGAAATATAAGAATCTTGCAAAAAACAATTTCAAATAAAATCTTGTAAAACAAAATTTTACAAAAATCTTACAAAGATTCTTTAGATAACAGGGTGCTTCCAAAATAAAAAAAAAGAAATTTCACTAATAGAAATTTTTTTAATTTCAAGCAAAAAGTTTCTGCTTGATTGAGGCTCAGTTATCACCTGAACAGAATGTACTTCTTTATGTACTTGCTTATTATGAAAATTACAGGGATGAACGTACATGGTCCCCAGCCCCACCCAGTCAAACCACCTCCACGGTTTCATAAGTGAGACAGGCCAGTGCAAGGCTTTTTTCTTTTTCTTTTTTTTTTGTCTTTTGTTTACCTTCTTGCTTCATGGAATTGTTATGGCTAAGCATACAGCAGGGCCAAAAAAGGAGTTTTCCAAAACCCAGCAAATCAGATGCTTGGATTTTGAACTGCCAAACAGAAAGTGCATTTTTCCCCAATCAAAATGAAGTAAATTCTTTAGATAAATGTATTCATCAGCCCAGATTTTTTTTTTAAAAAAAAAAACAAAACCAGTTATGTGAGCTTTAATCACTGCTCATTTCCAAGAAGAAACAAAATACCAGGTCAGCTAGACTCATATACATATACATACAAGTATATGTGTGTGTATATGTATGTATATATATCCCACACCCAAACTCAGCAGCTAGGTACTGGATGAAATACCAGCTTTCCATCCTGTATGGTATGCTAATTTGGGGAAATCATTCCTTGGAAAAACTGGCAGAATCTACATGCTGGGAAAAATAGCTTTATCCACATAAAAAGTGTCTAAAAAAGAATCCCTGTGATTAGCTTACTCTTAAGTTAGATCTTCTAATAAGGCTGAAAATCCAAATTCAAACCATGGTGTGTCTTGAGTCCAGCTGGCATGCTGGTATTCTGTTCATGCCACTTCTGCATGGCCAAAGGTACCCTATTTCAGACGTGTCCGTGCAGAGCTCAGTCTGCAGCCTGGAATAGGCTCAATGCTAAAACAGGCTTCAGCAAATCATTAAATTAACGATAAAGCCTCTGCAAAACTCAGGCTATAGTTTTCATTTTCATCTCCTTTATGGCCATTTTGAAATACTTCACAGGCTGTAGAATTTTCTAGCTAAACATTCTAGTTTCTTCTTAAAAAAAATATTTATATATTATCTATATATAATATATACACATACACATACTATACACACAAATATACATACACAAAAATTCTGCCCACTTTTTAAAAAAAGTAGTATACTTTCTGTACTACCAACAGATAGCTAGATAGATATGTGAAACTTGTGCCTTTTAAGCAAATAAATTGACATTGTTTTTTTAATACTTCTGTATTTTTAATATGTGTGGAAAGGTTACATATTAAATATAGCCGATGTGTGATCTATACAATTGTTGTGCAATGTCTGTATGAAAGTCTCACGGTGGCAGAATTGGTCAGATTTTGTTCAATTACCATGAATTTTTTTTTCCATTTTTAACACTGACAGTCAAAATCTTGAACAAATACCAACATATTGAGGGAGTTTTCATCTATGTGTTTTTGTGAAGGAGGACCTTAAAGAGGCTATTTTTTTCTTTCTTTTTTTGTATTATACATTGATACAGTACAATGCCAGGTGAAAAAAGAGCCTTAATAAAGCATGCATCACCCATACCCCTGTATGAGACCCCTACAAGGGGGCCACCTGCATAAGGCACCATTATGAAGGTCAACAGTGCATTAACAGCTAGAAAACCAGAAATTAGTCCTCAAGGCATAAATAAGAGAAACATAGCTGCATGAGAAAAAGGTTCTAAGCTTTAGTGGTTTTATTCAATCCAACTGTGAAAAACTTTAGGTTCTTTCTTAGCCTAATGTAACATCAGACCAGCAATTTTCCAGCTGCAGCTTTTGGATACTTGGCCCATGTCCAATTTCTTCAAAGGGCATCACAAAAAGTGAATTCAAATTCAGAATCATTTAAAAAATAATCTTACGCTGCACAACACTTTTCTGGAAGGGGAGTGTTATAAAATACAAACCAGGAGGAAAAATTGTGTTTTGCCAAGCCTTTGCGGCAAGGGATTACTGTATCAGACAAATTGTATCTTAGCTGCTCATTAATCAGAATCAAGATTACAGTCCAGATTTTAAAATGGAAAAGCATACAGTTCCCCAGACCATGCATGACTTCTTGTATTATAAGGAAAAATTATCATTGTGTTATATTTGTAAATACAGCTTATACAATGGGTTACAAATGAGCTCCTCTGTAGCAAGTAAAACAAGCTACTGGACACATTGCACGTTAAATAGCTGCACCAACACCAACAATTCCTCTCACACAGGAAGGGGCAGAGGCCCCCTCCCACGCCACGTGCCTCTCTGGGGTCCTGAGTTCCCACTCCCACCCTCCTCTTTTTTTTTTTTTTTTTTTTTAACGTTTTGTTTTGTTTTGTTTTTATATTTTTCTAAGGTGCAGACACCCTCCCAGGAAATGATTGGTGGTCATCTCATCTCATGGTATACTCCTTACACACAAAACATTCAAACTACTTTTTTCCTATGTCTTGCAGTTGTGCCACCACAAGAGAAAAAAGTCTGCCGCATCATACAGTCAGTAATAGATCCTCAACATACAGTCAGCCCAACCATTAACATTCTCAGTGCGCATGCTCACAGCGAAGGCACGGAGCCCCGCAGAAGGTCAGGTATCAGTGGCGAGTCCAGGATCACCCCAATACCATGCACCACAGGTGGTAATGCCGCTTCTGACATGACTTGGTCAGCCCTCGAAAGACCTTTCAGAGAGGCCCTGGAGGCAACTGGGTAGGGTGCAAAACAGCATGCTTTGACTGCAACACGCATCCCTCCTTCCACGGCTGTCTCTCAGCCTGGAAGCCTTTTAGCCTACAGGATTCACCCCTCTGCTCCCTCAGAGGTGCCTCTTCATGTGCAGGGCCAGGTGATCAGACCTGGAGAAACACCTGCAAGGGCAAATCAGAAGCAAAGAAGTTAGGTTTCCTGCAGGGCTTATGTTACAGGGCAAGCACCACACTTCCCTGCACTACCTGACCGGACTCTTCTCAACAGAAAGGTAGAAATCATCTCTCGTCAAGGATTTCAGAGGCAGGAAACCCCAACTTAAGAGTAATCTGCGAAGTGTTTTGGAAAATCTGATTGAAACTCCTATCTCATTCTTTAAACCTGAAGAGTACTTAAGGCTAATCTTTAAACAGAGGAGATGGGGAACCCCAGTAGTCTCAAGCATACCCAGAACTGTGCTTCCTAACATGGACATGGAATACATCACAGGCTTCCTTAAAAACCTCAGGGCTTAAAAAGAAATGTCAACAAATGTCTGAAAATTGTTGGGCCTTTCTTCACAACAAGAGCTATTGCACACCTGCCCTGTCCTGGTCACTGCACTCCCAACACTGTTTGAGTGTCTTGCAGCAAAGCCCTCATGCACGTACCTGTCACAGTGAGAGCATTTAAAAGGCTTGGCACCAGTGTGCTTTCGGAAGTGTCTGGTTAACTCATCACTTCTTGCAAAACGCCACTCACACCCTTCCCATGAGCATCTGTAAGGCTTTTCTCCTGGGAAGAGAGCACATGACAAGCACACCATGACTTCACTGGCACAAGGAGGCAAGGGGTAGATTCACAGGTGCAAGTTCAGGGTCCCAGCGGGTTCAAAATTTCAGCTTATCCTTAATTAAGGACAATATTTTCCAACCTACAAGCAAGAAGGCTGAGTCTTTCCTAATCTAAACTCAGGCCTCTCTCTAACTGTTGTCCAAGGGATCTAATTTTGGGAAAAACCAAGCTACCAAAATCAAAGTTAGCATACAACAATGATGATGACTCAAACTGGCAAAATACTTGAGAGGTGAGGTGTCAGCCCTGGGGACCCACAGCCTTGCTGAGGGCCAAGCTTTACTGCTATCTCCATGGAAACTGTTTCCCCTTAAGCACTATTTTGTTCCTTACTCACTTTCCTGTGGAATGAGTCTGTTGTTTCTTCTGGGACCTTCCACATTTGTACAAAACTGAAGTTGTAAGTTTCTGGGAAACTTCATTCCAAGGCTTTCAAATCACTTTCTAAATCGCAATCAAATGACTAAGTTGACTTCATCCTTGGCCAAACTATAAACTGAATTCAGTAAAAGTGCTACCTAAGAATAATAACTTAAAACAATACCATAGTCACTCTAGGGCAGATGCTGCCTGGTTTTTCAGGACAGCGGTGCCCAAGTCTCAGTTCTGCCACCAAGCTCTATGGGACCCTTCTGTGATTGCTCAGCAATGGGCTCTCGCGTGGCTAAGGATCTGTACTACTTCATCTTGTAAGTTTGATATTTTCTGATTTTTCACCAATCATCCCTCAGATTGTTTCTGGTATTTTTAGGGGAGAACTTTTGTCTAGGTTATAGCAATTCATTAAGAAATCACTGCTGTTTTAAATAATACCAGAAAAATAACTAGGTGATCGAGTGCTCCCAGGAAATAGCCACCGAATGGTATGTGCTCACAGAGCTCTTGGTCTACCTAGGCCTCGCGCAATCATCACCAACACTAACACACTCTACGAGCCTGGGGACCCTCCACTCTGACCTTGGAGTTTCATTTCAAACCATGAGGAGCAACCCAATGTAACACGATGCAAATATACTGGCAAACTGAGCCCCATGGGCCTTGATACATGGGGGTACTTGTTACACAGGTGGAGGTTTGGGTGCCCAGAGAGAACACGATCTAGCCTCTTTTTTGTTTGATCTCCAGGTACTAACCATTCATCTGATTCAGATGTCCAGTCTTTAAGATTTTACTTTGAACTCCAAAAAGACCCAATGCTTGGATGGAAAGGATTTAGGAAGTGAGGATTTGTTGGCTGTGACCAAATCCTGCAGAGCCCTGGGCTCCCTCCCAGGGCTGGTGCCATTCAGCAGCGCCCACCAGCGGCCAACCTCCCAGGTCCCAGGAGGGGACTGACCTGTGTGAGTTCGCTGATGTGCTTTCAAGTGGGAGCTTTTGGTGTAAACTTTCCTGCAGCCATTAAAGTGGCACCGATGTACCCTCCTCCTGCCGTCTGGGGAGCTGTCGCCACTACCCTTGTCACCCGGCTTCCCCGAAGTCCCACTGCGCACCTTCCCTGGCGAGGGCAGCTCTCCAGGCACACAACCCCAAAGTTGAGAAGGTTCTCTACTCAGTTCAGGAGAAGAAGGAGGTGTGGAGGTGACTGAGGAGCTCAGAGTTCCTGCACTGACTAATGCTTCGCTGATAGGGTCAGAGGGAAACTTGGTGGTAGGTGAAAGCTCCTCTGAGCTGTCAGATGACTCGCTGCTCACATCGGAGTTCAGGCTGTTGGTCTCCAAGTTGTAACTGAAACTCGGGCTGACTACAGTGTCCTCTGGGGGACTAGAAGAAATCTTGAGTTCTGATTCCTCCTTTTTCTCCCGAGCCAGAATGATTTTGGTCCACAGATCTTCCTGGCTGTCAAATTTGATTTCTGAGGCTGAAACATAGCAGGGTTCACTCTGGAGGTAGCGTTCCAATTCCAGGCAGGTCTGTGAAACAAAACAAGACACGTGACTGTTGTGATAAGTGAAAGTGGAACCAAAAGCTCATCTCCAAAAACATGAAAGAACAAAGGACAGTTAAACTACTGCAGCGTCACTCAGTAGTATGGGCACAGAGCCTCCTATAATTGAAGGCTGTGTCCCTGTAAGAGTCAGAGAAAATATATTCTTAGAATAGCAAGTACTGAGAAGGAAAAACAGAGGGTGAAACCTCTCTTGGCTTCCCCAACCCTGGCCACAATGAGTGATGATCATGAAGTTTGTTTTGTTGTTATAGTTACAAGTGTTGATATTTTTAATGAGTTTCCCATAAACCACACAAAGAAAATCAGCTTGACACACATTCCCCCTCAACAGGTTTAACCAGATGAGCTGACATTTCTTCATGCGTACCAAGGAAAGCCCCAGCCATCCAAGTTTACATGACACACAGATCCACACAACAGGGCAGAAAGACAGCATGGCCCAAGGTGTGTTCTGATGAAACCCCTTGGGGACACAGCTGACCACACAGGGCCACACTCAACACAGTGGACAGCAGCCAGTTGTCCACACTCGGGGACATCAAGGGAGTTACATGCATTTCTTGTATAGCCAAGATCTAATACATTCTCAAAGAATGCCAGTCCCAAGGACAGGGTCATGAACACTACAAAACTTTAATTACTTCTACAGTGGTCTGAGAGAAACAAGAAACTACAACAAGAGTGGGGGAATAATTCCAGAACAGCCATCTGCTATTGTAAAGGATGCGAGAGGGAAATTACTCTGCTGGGAGTGCCACAATGAACAAGAACTTTATCTGCTGGCCAAGAGTACAACTGTATGAGTCATCACTCCTATTTCTTTCACGCAATGCCAAAGGACACTTCCTTTTGAAATTCTGACCAGCAGCCAAATAAGGACCCGTTCAAATATACATGCAATGTGTCATGGACAGGGTGCCCTCCCCAGCCCACAACCAACCTTTCAAGAAGCTACAGTGCTGACATCAGCATCCCCTCTCCCCCATCTCAAACTTTCTAGCCACTGGAAAAGAAAAATGGTAGGAAAAATTTAGAATCAAATTATGTCTGCCCTGATTTTTACCAGGTTGCCTGTATGTCCATATAAGGATATCTGTGCTACTGACAATTCTACGGATTTAAATTCTGACACCAGCCTGCTTTTTTCAAGGACTCATTTTCAGGGCCCCAGTGCCCTGAGCACAGAAGCCGGGGCTAGGCTGCCTTGCACCGCGGTGTCCTTCCATCAGTGTAAGCACAGCCACCCTCTGCTCAAGCCTCACTCACAGGGTGAGCAGAGGGGCTGGACAAGGGGCAGAATCATGGTTTTCTCATTCCTTCCTAAAATGAGATGTGTCTGACTTACAAGGTCTGTTATAGTATTTCGCAGAGAGGCGGTGAAACATTTTATTGACGTTTCAACGAAAAGAGCAAGCATATTTATTGAGATCCTGTTAAACTTTAATAATCTGGCTAATTTAAAATCTCCATTATGCTGATGAACGCCCAGGACCTGGACGAAGCTCCGAGAGTTTAAAAGCCTCTGAAGGCAACCAGGAGCCAGGTCTGGCTAGTTGCCCAAATCCCAAATGCCCGAAGGAAACTACTTAGATCAATTTCAATCCACCCGAGTGTGCAGTTCGGTGTGTGTGTGAACAATTAAAGTGGCATGAGATGATTGCAACACTTCTGAATTCCATCCTTCATTAAAAGCTTTCTAGGCTTTGAAACCCACATAAAATATCTGATTTGCTAATTCACTTTGACAAAATAACAAACAGCACAGCAGGGCAGTGAAAAGCCAAACCCTCTACCACCTTCTTCTTCTTCTTCTTTTTTTTTAAAAAACAAAGGGACAAGTGTTAAAGAATCTTCCTGCAGTCAACCCAAGAAATTGTAAGGGGGGAACTGCTTAAGTTCCCTAAATTTCCGATGTCCAAAATTCTGGTTCCACTGAAACGCCGGAAGCCGAGGTTCTCCCTCCCGGACTGAAGCTCCAGGCGCGGGGGGAACCGGGGTCCCCGCTGTCACCGCCCGGCCCCTGCCCGCAGATGCGGGCGGGGAGCAAGGCCGACCCTGAGGGCCCGGAGCCTGGAGCGGAAGGGCGCTGTGAACAGCCCGGAGCTGGGGAAGCGGATCTATTCCGCAGGCAGAATGTTAGATTAAAAACAAAAACAAAAAAAACAAAAAACGAGGTACAAACAGCAAAAAGCAAAACCAAAACAAAATCCGGCGGAGAAGAAAATAAAATGAAAAGCCAGCGGCAGCCCAGGCGAGCGCGCGCCCGGGACCCGGTCCGGCTAAGGCCGGCGGAGCAGCACCGGCGGCAGCGCCGAGCGCCTGTCCCGGCTCGGCCCGGCGGAGCGGCACCGCGTCCCCGCTGCCTCGGAAGAGGTTCGGCTCGCGGGCGCAGCCTAGGACCGCGGGCGGGCGCCGCTTACCTGTTGCCAGTACTCCTCCAGGGAGGGCAGAGCCGAGAAGTAGCCGGTCTCGTGCACGATCTGCAGCTCCTGGAAGATGCTGCACATGGGGAGCACGTCCATGTCGGGGTGCGGACGGCGGTCCCCGGCGGCCGTGCGCGCTGGAGTCGCAGTGGAAACTCGGCCCGCGAGCGCAGGTGAAAGTTGCATGCAAACTCCTGGCGCGGCTATAGGACACCCGGCCGGACCCTCCCGCAGCCGCAGAGCGCGGAGCCCACACAATATTTGCAAACACCGGACTGACTGCGAGCGCAGCCTCTGCAAAACTTCCCTATTCAAGCTCCGCTGCCAGCCTGCCCTCCGCCCCCGCCGCTCCCCCACGCCTCCTGCCCACGTGACCCGCCCGGGCCCGCCCCACACACTACCCAATCGCGCCGCGCCCGGCCTGAGGGCTGCGTGCCGATGATGTCAGCTTCAACCAATTGCAGGTGCTGACACACCGCGGCCCCGCCTGGCGTGACCGAGATTCTTCATGACAGCCCTCACTATAGGGCCAATTCGAACTCGGCCAGCTCTAATTGGATAGCGTCTCCACCGGCTATTTTTAGCAGGGTATATAAAGCACTAGTAGCGCCGCACAGAAGGAGTCGGCGCTGGGAGGTGCACGGCCGTGCGCCTTAGTTTCGCAGCCGACCGGGGCCGGGGAAGCCGGCTTGAGCAGTCCGGCTCGGGTCACCTGTGCCTTGCCTCTGGGGTTCGCGGTCGGAGCTCGCAGCCTTGGCTGCGTCCCTGGGTCCTGGCTAGGTGTGGCCACCGCGCGCGCGATCCCCAACAGGCTGCCTGGGCCCTGGCCTAGGAACTGCCGCCGTTCCCGGCCGACAGGCCCTCCGCACGACCACAGTCGCCCTTTGTGCCCCGGCCGGCTCCCCGCTTTCGCGGCCGGCCTTCCACCCCAAGGCTCAGAGCTGCGGGCGGCGGGGCTGGAACCTGGGCCACCCCGCTTTGCGCCTGAGCCGGCATGGGTGGGCAGTCCCGCCTGAGCCACCCGACGGAGCCTGGAGCAGCCCGCCCGGCCTATGTCCCGCCCCGAGCCTGGGCACTGGGTCCACATCCTGCCCTGTGCCTGGACTTGCTCCTCCCCGCCCAGTGCTAAGGGGTGTCCAGTCCCTTTTCATTGGGGGAAATCTGTGTTATCTCGTGGACGCCTCGGCAAGGTTTTCAACCAGGTTTTCTCATGAATGTGTGCACAATTTAACTTAGGTGGAAGCTGACATTCGACTCAATTTTTTTTAAATAAAAATGACTTCCTCAAATACACCAGTTTTTGTTTGTTTGTTTGTTTGTTTTCTTTTTTATCGGTACCGGGGATCGAACTCATAACTGCCTGCTTGCAAGGCAGGAGCTTATGCCGCTGAGCTAAATCCCCAGTCCACCAGTGTTTGTTTTTGAACAACAACAACAAAAAAAAGTAAACACGGAGTATTTCAAAATTCAAAATGAAAAAGTGAAATACAATTTATAGTTTTAAGAACATCACTGAACATTATTTTTCAACCTTATAATTTTAGAATGCGTGTTTAATTTTAGAACAGTAGAGTAAACGGATGTGACAGGATCACAAGCCTGTAAGAGTGTAGGAAGAGACCTTTGTTGACAGCTAAAAGGAAAAGTTCTCTTAGTGGACCTGCTGCATGTGATCTATGAGTGACCAGCCTGTGTGGACAGAAGAGTGTCCCTTCACTGGCGTGTGAACCTCCAGTCTGCTTCCAGGAAGGAAATGGAAGAGGCTTTGCTGTCAGTCTTGCACATTTTGCTCAACCTGTCAAGGACAGCTATTCATCCCCTTTGGGCGATGGTTAAACTGGGCTGGGGTTTTCTCCTGCATTAGCAGGAAGGTTGTGACTTTGGCCCTGGTGGGACCCACGGAAGTGAGACTCAGATCAAACGTTTGAATGAAGATCAGGCAATCTGGAGATCAGGAACTCTGGGAAGTTCTGTGAAAGGGACTAGATACTGACCAAATCAAGGAAGACCAAAGGTTTTAGGGAAGACTTTCTGGGCAACTCTTTCGGGAGTCACAGTGACAACACTGTAATTTATCTCGTGGACAAAGAATAATTCTGTGTTAATGATTCTTTTTATTTACATACTTGTAGAATGTAGATGTTTCCTTGTCTTTTACATGTACTTCCCGATACATAGAATGTTGTATAGTTAATTTTTATGAGAATGAACCCAATTGGATGTAATGTAGATATAATCAAGTTAATTTTAAAAAGTGTAAGAACAGGGAAACATACATAGATTGGATTTCCGACAAATTCTGTGTCTTCTTGCTGCTGTGCGTATTAGCAGTTTGGCACAGTTGCCCATCCTATGGCTAGCTGGTTATTGGTCGATAGCAATCTATAAAAGTAGAAGCCTTTGTTGTGGCTGAAGGCATGGGGGAAGGAGGTTGTAGATGTCTTACAGTGAGTTCGGTTAGGAAGTATAAGGCTACCAGGTGGGAACATATTAGCTTTGTATGAGAAAAGAATATCCGTGACACCTGAACAATACTATTAGCCTGAGTTTTAAAATGAGTGATAGAGTCACAGAAACCGAATTCATTCAGATGGGGAAGTATGGCACAGAAGTTAAAAAATGAATTTTAAACTCTGACAGCCTATACTGATGCATAGCTTTGATCATGTTAATTAGGATTTTTAATTTTTTGATTTTTTGGTTTGGTATACTCAGAAGAGATAATGCATAACATGCTTGATTTGTGGTAAGTAATAATCAATTGAAGGCAAAACTTAGTTGACATTTATCAATTTCTAAACTTGCTCTTGACGTTTATTTGACAATAAGGAGCTTGGATGGTCACATGGTAAACTGCAGGAAGGGCTGGCGCTGAGGTTGGCTGGGAGCCCTGAAGGAGCTGCTTTCTCCTGCAGGCCTCTCTGCCTGCCACTAGAGAGGACCGCACCTGCCGCCGTGGCTGCCACTCACATGTACTCGCCATCAGCTCCTGACCTCACTGGGCCTCCGTCTGGGCCTGTGCAGGCCAGCGGCCCCTGGATCATGAGGCACAGGCACTGTGGCTCCGTGGCGATCTCCCCACCCCCACTCTCTGCCCTGTTTCCTGCCTACCCTTGCTTCTAAGGCAATGGGTACCCACATACCTCGAAGTTCTCTGTGCCACATGAGGGGGCAAAAAGAAATCAGACTAAAATACACTTTGTCTTTTAAATCTAACTTTCCACTGAAAGGTTATTGGGTGATATAATGGTTTTGAGTGCCACTTTCTGTTTTTCAACTCAAAAAGTGTCCCTATAAGGACTCTTAAAACTGTGTTGAGGATAATTCCAATAAAGCCCCATTTTACTGATAGCGAGCTCTCCCATCTTGGTTAGAGAAGCCTGTTTTTATTTTTTGTTGTTGCTGTTCTGATGTTTATCCTAGAGCAAATTAACCTTTCATTTCATCAGTTTACTTCTGTAAAATATAAGTTTTAGGAAGATACTTTTGAGTAATTGCAATGTTACGTGATATACAATTGTAAAAAGCTCATACTTATTCACTATCTCATTGGCTGAAGAGACATGCAATTTTATTGGAAAAAAATCAGTTTATCTGACATATGTCAGGTAAAGATTCAGTCTTTTAACTGTTAGTGCTAAGGACAGTTAAAGAAAGGAAATATTGATAGTTTTCAAGAGATGTTCAATTTAATTTACCAATGTGTGATTTGTTCTAAGTAGATGATCCTCATGGTTCTGTGGCACTGGTGTGGGAAAGAAAATGTGAATGTCCCTGATGTTTGCTTTGGTAACTATGTTTGCAGGTAGTTGTGCTGATTGCTTGTATTGCTGTGTTCCTCTCCCCACCTTGCCCTTGGGCAGTCCCTGCCAGCATACTGAGGCTGAAGGGACGAGGCTGATAGAATGGGACGCAGCAGTGGGGGCCCACTGACTTGTTTTAGGTCTGCCCATGCATGTGTGCTTTGGAGATACTGCTTCTTGGCACCCAGGCCATGAACTTGAAGAGGTACCCTTTTCACCAGGACTGGGGCTTCTGCTTTCTTTAAGAGAAGTGCCTAGGAGTGTGGAAGGGCGCCCTGAAGTGAGCTAGTTTGCCTCCCCACTTCCGGAGCCCCTGGGGTAGGAGGTCTATAGAGAAGGGATATATTTGAGAATGGGATCCCATTTATTACAAACTGTCATGACAGCCCACGAGTTCATAAAAGTTTACCCATAATTGTGAAAAGCTGGTACCTGCCAAGGAGTCTTTACTGAGATAAATAGTGTTACAGGATGTGATGCTGTTCATGGCAGAAGGACACACAGCCACATGAGTGCGTCTCAGAAGCAGAAGCCTTGCCCACCCTACCACCCACTGCAGAACTCAGAGAGGTTAAATTCTAGAGTATTTACACCTGACATTCATGAAAAGAGCCAGCACTCCTGGTGACTCCGGTGGCGGGACTAGAGGAGGAAAGGAAAGGGGCATGCAGGAGCTCTCCACATGGTGAACTTATTCTGTGTCTGGGTAGAGGTTTGGATTACAACCCACTGATGGCACACTTAGGACCTGTGCATTTAACTTGCTGCAAATCTTCCCAACCACTGCCCAAAAGAGAACCATAAATAAGATCTGAGTTTCAGTTAGCAGTGTTTAGAGAAGCAGGGTTTTAAGGCATGAGTTTTGCTTTGAAACAACGTAAGGAAAGGGAGGAAGAGAAGGAAGAAGGGAGAAGAGGGAGGGAGAAACAAAAGGATGAATGGATGGAGAGAGGAGTGGACAGAAGCAAACAAGGTGAAATAGTAATTGTAGAACTTGGATGATAGGTAAATGGGTATTCACAAATTCTTTAGACTTCTCTACTTTGGAAACTTTTCTAAAAAGTTAAGGAAAATATGCTAAAACAGGAAATAGAGGAGGTCAGGCTGAAGTGAAGTTTGGTTAATCAGTCAGGCTCTTGATTCAGACACCTGCTAGCTGTGTGAGCTTGGGCAGGTCACAGTGTCTATGAGATTCAGTTCCTAGCTTGTTGGACTGGTGGGAATAACATCTGCTGCTGCCCAAGTAACCTGCACACTGCAGAGGCTCTTTCTAAAATAACTAGACTCAGCTCAGCACTAGTGGGGCAGTTTCTGAGGCCTGGTTCTGCTTCGAAGGCCATAACTTATGCTAAGAGCAGGGGAAAGGGGACAGAGGAGAGGAAGGAGAGCTTTCCTATTGAAACTGAACTACTTTGATTAATGCTGACGCAAAGATTTAAAGTCAGTTTTTAAACATTTACTTTAAAGTCCATGTTTTCATAATTATAATTAGGTAGATTTAAGCTAATGAGTCAAT